CTTGCGCCTCTGTGTGGGGGGGGGGGGGGGGGGCATGGGATTTCAAAGGGGCTCAAGGGAGTTCTGCATGTGATTCACAGTGTATGTGAGCAGCCCTAGGGAGATAATCAGCACTGCACTATGGGATGAGGCTGTGCTCTTTCAGGTCACTGGATAGCCTTCCACTGACTTTGGCTGGGGAACGTCAGAGTGCTGGAACAAATCATCTCTGGTGCCCAGTTACAGCTGAAGTTTGAAAGTGGAGCATAAGGAAGGCCGTGCAGAACTGAGCGGGACCTCCTTTAGCTTTCACAAAGGGCTGCTGGGTGCTGGGCATGGTTTGAGCCAGAGTTGATTGAGCGACGAGGAGTCCTGTGGCACCTTATAGACTAACACGGCTACCCCTCTGAGAGTTGACTGAATTTCACTGACAAGCACACCAGAGAATCCTGCAGCCTGGAGCTCATTCCAAGCTACAACCTTGCTCAGGTCAGCAGGGTGCCTGCTGCCATTTCTGCAAAACATGCAAATTTGCACATCAAGTCCTGGGCATAAATCTTCCACACTTCAGCCCTTGCGGATACAAAAGGAGGGTCTGCTGGCTTGGCACAGCTGTGGGATTCCCATGACTCCATCTGCCCCCTTGTGTAGAAGGGTTCCTTCCCCCTGGGTGCTGAGCCACACTAGGTGCAGCCAATATGATGTATAGTCAGGCTGCATGTGGCAGGTTCCACGGCCGTATCTGGCCTCTGACCGTGAGTGCTTTCCACTGCAGCAGGCACTCACATGTTTCAAAAAGCACAACCTAGAATGGTTTTAGCTTACAACTAGGTGCCAGCTGGGGTGCAGGTCAGGGGACTGTTTAAAACGGGTGGGGAACCTTTTTTGGGCCACTCACCCACAGAAAAATCAGTCGGGGGCAGCACACAAGCGAAATGCAAAACAAACCCCAAAACCCTCACTGTGGCTCCAACTGAGGAGAAAGACACTCCCCATGTTCCCCGCACACACCAGAGCCTGTAAATTTTGTGCACTCCAGCCCTGCAGTGGGACAGCAGGAGGGGTTGAAGTGCCAGCACGGGTTCCCCAATGCTGGGTGGGCCAGATCCAGGCAAGCTGGGGGCCACATCCAGTCGTGGGCCTGAGGTTCCCCACCCCAGTTTAAAAGGGCCGATGGGTGTAATGGTACCCCTGGGGTAGGCAGGCTCAGGCCAGTGGCAAGGACTGAGGCTTGGCGTATTGGGTGGGATGGATCTAGGCCATGATTCCGTTTGTTTTGATGAGTGGAAATGGCTCAGGGAAGAAGCCTGTGGAACAAGACCATGAGCATGTGGGGTGAAAATTCAAAACACCCATTCCCTATATTGAAAAGTGTTTCTGCTGACAAGGGACGGCTGAGCCCTCTCCATGAGCCACTCTGCCACGGGCGGTAGTCATGCAGATATGGCACAAGAGAAGGGTGCTTGTTGGAGGTGAATCTGTTTCATTGTCTTCACAGCTCCTGCGTGACCCTCCAAGGGACTCCCAACCCGCTCGCCATGACGACAGTAATACAATGTCCCAAGCCACCCAGGAAATGGCCACAGGGATGTCTCACATGGCGCAGTTTCTAAAGAGGAAGGGACCGATAACGGTATTTCCAGTGCTGTTATAGGATGGGAGGAAATGTTTCGCTGGGTAACTAGAGCCAGCTCAATCCACTGAGCACCCGCTTGTGTCGATCATAAACCTCAGAGCGGCACAGTGACTCAACAGGCCACAAGGGGGCGTGATTGTGCCCAAGAGTCCGCTCTCGCGCTCCTGAGGAAGAATCAATCAGTGCCCGTTTCATTTAAAGCAGGTGTAATAGCGTCACTGGGAGTGTGCCTGATATGCTCTGAAAAGCCTTTCCCCCAGGGTGGAGATGAGGCAGGCAGAGAGGTTACTCTGCCCCTTCCCCTGCTATTTCAACCTATTTATTGATTCTCGGAACTATGACCCACAGGCCTGCTGGCTGCTGCAGCAAGGGGTTGAGTCTATTGCAACTCCCGTTCTTTGACAGAGCTTGGCGTATCGAACAGCTCCCCGGGTGGCTTCCACAGAGCAGGCTAGAAGTGGCGGAATGAGCCATGACCTGCTGCTGCAGCAGCTGCAATTCCAACGTTGAAAATGCTTTAAAACTGCCCTGTTTTCCCATCAGCCTCTGCACCACCCACACTTGGTGTCTTTATTATGTTTGTCCTTCAATATCCTCATCCCATGCCGGGCACAGGGAGCACCGGGAAGTTTGTGAGTGTTTGTTATGAGAGTCCAGCCGTGGTCTGGTGGGAGCTGATACATGCATGTGACATCAACAAATTAACACAGCTGGGCCAGGAGTGTCCCCATGCAGGCTGTGAGGTTGGCTCTGTTGTGTGAACATGCTCTAGAGTCAATGAGGCGACAGTATTGCTAACCAGATTCTGCCTGCAAGGAGATTTTACATCCTTTTCAGAGCAAATGCCCCGACCTCCTTCCCAACTTCTTTCGATTTAATTTTAGACCAAAGACCAGCTCGTTGCCTGTGCAAGACAAATGGCCTCCAAGGGGCAAGTGTTTGTCAGGTTTGGCCACATGGTTGCAAAGAGCTGCCTAGACAAAAGATGTGCAACTGAACTGCTGTGTGTCACCGAGCAAATCCAAACCATCAGCAACCAGCTCAGCATTATTTCCAGGTAAGACGCAGGTTCCAAGGCTATTCTCTCAAAGCTATGTGTGTATTCACTCCATCTTAAGAAGGGATTGCAAAGGACGCTGCTGACGATCTTTCTTGTCAGTAGTTGTGTCACATGGCTGAAGATTTCTCTGCTGTGAAGAGTTTTCCTCTTTCTTTTACCCTCTGACAAGCTTAAAAAACAATATATCCCTTGGTTTTTGTTCCCATGTCCTAGGTTAGTGTGATCTCTGCTACTGGCGGCTGTTGCTGAGTCAGCAGGGTGAAAGCATTTTAACCAAAGTCCTATAGCTATCCTATGTATCCTTTAAAGACTAACAAGATGGTTTATTAGGTGGTGAGCTTTCATGGGCCAGACCCACTTCCTCAGATCAATATGTGGAAGAAAATCGGCACAACCATATATACCAAAGTGATACAATCAAAAAAATGAACGCATGTGAAATTGACAAATCAAATTTTAGAACAGAGTGGGGGTGAGGGGGAAAGGTAAGTTTCTGTGAGGTAATGACATAGGAGTGATAATAGGGGAAGTTTTTGTGAGGTAATGACATTTGGGGTGATAATTGGGGAAGCTATCTTTGTAATAGGTGAGATAATTAAAGTCTTTGTTTAAACCCATACATAAAGTGTCAAATTTAAGCATGAATGACCATTCTGAAGCTTCTAGTTGAAGTCTGGAGTTAAAGTCTCTTTGAAGCAATATGCATGTTTTAAGGTCGTTAAGGGAATGATCAATCTGGCTAAAATGGCAGGCAACAGCTTTCTCTCTGTGAGAGAGTCTTATGTCTGTTTTGTGTGCATTGATTCTTTGGCGAAGTGTCTGAGACGTTTGTCCAATGTACATAGCAGATGGACACTTTAGGCACATGATAGCATAAATTATATTTCTGGATGAACAGGAATATGTGTTCTTGATCTTGTTACTTGCATGGTTAGGTCCAATAATGGTGTCAGCAGAGTAAATACGTGGACAAAGCTGGCACCGGGGTTTGTTGCAAGGGAAAGTTCCAGGGTTGGTATTAGTGTGATATGTCCTGTGGCTGTTGGTAAGAATCATCCTGAGGTTAGGTGGTTGTCTATAGGACACTATGGGTCTGTCTCCCAGAGCTTCTCGGAGTGTAATATCCTGTTCCAGTATAGGTTGTAGTTTATTGATAATGCGTTGGACGGGTTTAAGTTGGGGGCTATAGGCGATGACAAGTGGTGTTCTATTGTTGGCTTTCTTGGGTCTGTCTTGAAGTAGATGGTTTCTGGGTATTCGTCTGGCTCTTTCAATTTGTTTTTTTATTTCTCCGGGTGGGTAATTGAGGTTTATAAATGCTTGGTAGAGATCCTGAAGTTTCTGGTCTCTGTCAGTGGGATTAGAGCAGATACGATTGTATTGAAGGGCTTGGCTATAGACGATGGATCGTATGGTATGTCCTGGATGGGAGCTGGAGGCATATAGGTAACTGTAGGAGTCAGTGGGTTTTCTGTAGAGTGGTGTCTAATTTGCCATTGGTGATTTGTACTGTGGTGTCCAGGAACTGGATCTCTCGTGTAGAATGGTCCAGGCTGAGATTGATGGTGGGGTGTAGGTTGTTAAAGTCTCTGTGGAATGTATCCAGTGTTTCTTGGCCATGGGTCCAGATCATAAAGATGTCATCGATGTAGCGTAAGTAGAGAAGGGGTAAAAGGGGACGGGATCTGAGGAAATGTTGTTTTAAGTCAACCATAAAGATATTAGCGTACTGTGGGGCCTCACAGAAACTTCCCCTATTATCACCCCTATGTCATTACCTCACAGAAACTTACCTTTCCCCCTCACCCCCACTCTGTTCTAAAATTTGATTTGTCAATTTCACATGTGTTTATTTTTTTTGATTGTATCACTTTGGTATATATGGTTGTGCCGATTTTCTTCTACATATTGATCTGAGAAAGTGGGTCTGGCGCACGAAAGCTCATCACCTAATAAACCATCTTGTTAGTCTTTAAAGTGCTACATAATTCTGTCTTTTGTTTCAGCTACACCAGACTAACACGGCTGCATCTCTATCACTATTCTCTGTATCCTTTGTTTCTAAACTACGGATATTTTTAAAAAATAGTTACGCAATTCTATTGACATGGATTCCTCACAGACTACCACCTTACAGCACGTGGCATGGTGGGTTCCCTGACTGCAATAGTGCTCCTTTAAAACCAGCGCATGTGCATGAGGCCGGAGCGGGTGTGTCTTCAGAAATGACTTCTACAGCTAACAATGAGAAGCATCTCATGTACCGCACATTTTAACCCCCCAAGCAATGTTACTCACTGCTGTGTAGAATGGAAATTTCCGCTCCCTTATCATTCCCCTTCTAAAATAGCGCACTGGTAAGCTCTGTCTGAGAGCCCAATCCCCTGGCAGCAGCCAGTGCTGAGCCTAGAATAAGCGTTGAGCTCATGTTTGAAGAGCTTTCTCTGGAGCTAATGTTACCGGTACTAACAGGCATTAGTCTTTCTGGGTTCCAGCCATGCTGCGTTTGCCGGGAGGTTCTCTGGCTCTTTGCAGTGAATTTTCCATTGACGTCCCTAAACCCAGTCTGAGTGGCACGCCTATGTCCTTTGGCCTCCTGACCAATCAGTGCCATGCTGGGGGACTGAGTATCTCTGGATAGCTTTCTGGGATCATCAAACTGTGCTCAGGGGGGACTCCCCACTTTCTTCTTGCCATAATCAGTGCTTACGTCTCTCCCATCTCCATACTCTGAGCACCCGGCTAAGTCCCAAGAGCAGCAATATTTGTCCGGAAGGACCAGTGCTAGACCAGATACATTGGGCACTTAGGCGTGATTTCAACACTAGGTTTGGTACTTCTCCATTCTGGCTACTACGGCTCTTCTCTTTATTCTTTTGCTCTGCCTACAACATTTTTTTAAAAGCTGAAAAATCTCTCTTGCAGTCAAAACTGTTCCCTGAGCAAGGGTCAGACGTAGTGGAGCACTTTCCCTCCATCTGGAACAGTTTGTTGTATGATCTTCCTAGGTTCAGTAAGTCCTCAGCTAGCCGTGGCTCTAGAATGGAGTATCTAGTCGCTAAGCACATTGTGTAATGCTTTCTCTTTCCATTTTTAAATATGTGAAGGGTAAAAGCAGCAACGTCAGGAAGTAAGTGCTCTGCTGAACTACTGGTGAACAACGCACGGAATCTGTTTCAAGTGGTCCTACAGTCCCTGAAGGCAGCAGAGGCCGCGTGTGTCAAAGTAAGTGTGCACTGGGATAGCTCAAGATTCTTTCAGAAGGCAAGTTCAAATATCTACATGTTTCTACCCCAGCACTTCTGGGTTCAGGCTGTCACCTTCTGAGAATTTTAAGGGCATTAGGCACCCAAATCTCACTGGGAGTTGGGCACTTAACTCACTTCCTGAAGAGCCTATGAAAATCCCACCTGGAATCTGTGTTTGCCTCTCAAAGGTGACTAGGCATCACTTTAGCACTAACATTCCCTGGCAGGCTGGGGTTCTCTCTACCGTAAATGTTCCTTAGCCTGGATTCGTTGTGTTCTGCAAACCAGCGATTTCAGTCTCTTGCACTTTTGTGGCTCAGTTTCCTAATGGAGGCAGCTGCTTCCTGGAGCTGCAGCCTTTGCTCCTGCCCTGTATTCACTGTATTGAATGGTCCTCCAAATAACAGACCTTCACTGTCACAATTTCCAATGTGCCCTCTGAGTTGAAGACTGCCCAGTGAGTACTGGTCACATCTACAGGCAAAACCTCATGAGTTCACCACAGTGCTTTCAGCTTTGGTTTTGGACAGAAAGGCAGGCGGCCAAAAGAAACATCCTGCTATGGAGATAAGAGTCTCAGGTGGGGGCTTTAGAAACAGGTGAAGTGTCTCTTAGGGTTGGTCTTGGCTCAGCTAAGTTTCCATTAAAACTCCCAAAGGTTTCCTAATGAGGACAGCAAGAAATAACTAAATATCATAAATGATTTAATAGTGCAACCTTTAAAAGAGAGCGCTCAGAAAACGGGCATTCATTCAACCAGGCTCTGCTGATACAACTTTTCAAAAATTACAGATCGTACGGTATGTCTACACTACAAAATTAATTTGAACTAACAGCCATTAGTTCAAATTAACTTTAATAGGGGCTACACATACAAACCGCTAGTTCAGATTTAAATGGAACTAGTGGAGCGCTTAATTCGAACTAGGTAAATCTCATTCTACGAAGAGAAACGCTTAGTTCGAATTAAGTAGTTCGAATTAAGGGCTGTTCAGCCACTTAATTCGAACTAGTGGGAGGCTAGCCCTTCAATGGTTGACCTGGTGGCCACTCTGGGCCAAATTTACCAATGTGGAGACTACCATCTACATCTGACTACAATGGCATCATGAGGCTCAACCACTTTAAAGTGCGACCAGGGGAGCGAAGCGGACAGGGGACTGCAGACAGGGGAGTTGAAGAGGGAGAGCAAAGCGACCCCACCGCCGAAGAGGCTACCCGGTGAGAGTACAAGCTGTGGTGTGAGTGTGTGTGTGTGCCTGACTGTTTGAATTTTACAGTTTGAAGTGTGAATTGAGTCTGATTCCAGGTGAGTGCTAGCAGTTTCAGTTTCAGCTTCTGTGGCAGTTGGGACTGAGAGCCTGCCATTGTTCCCTTGATTGCCTCTGATTAGCCTCAGGCTCAGCCTTCCCCTGTGTGACTCAGAAGGGGGCAGGCCTGACCTAGGCAAGCAGGCTTTAAAAAGCCAGAGCAGTGCGACCAGGGGAGCGAAGCGGACAGGGGACTGCAGACAGGGGAGTTGAAGAGGGAGAGCAAAGCGACCCCACCGCCGAAGAGGCTACCCGGTGAGAGTACAAGCTGTGGTGTGAGTGTGTGCCTGTGCCTGACTGTTTGAATCTTACAGTATTGAAGTGTGAATTGAGAGTCTGATTCCAGGTGAGTGCTAGCAGTTTCAGTTTCAGCTTCTGTGGCAGTTGGGACTGAGAGCCTGCCATTGTTCCCTTGATTGCCTCTGATTAGCCTCAGGCTCAGCCTTCCCCTGTGTGACTCAGAAGGGGGCAGGCCTGACCTAGGCAAGCAGGCTTTAAAAAGCCAGAGCAGTGCGACCAGGGGAGCGAAGCGGACAGGGGACTGCAGACAGGGGAGTTGAAGAGGGAGAGCAAAGCGACCCCACCGCCGAAGAGGCTACCCGGTGAGAGTACAAGCTGTGGTGTGAGTGTGTGTGTGTGCCTGACTGTTTGAATTTTACAGTTTGAAGTGTGAATTGAGTCTGATTCCAGGTGAGTGCTAGCAGTTTCAGTTTCAGCTTCTGTGGCAGTTGGGACTGAGAGCCTGCCATTGTTCCCTTGATTGCCTCTGATTAGCCTCAGGCTCAGCCTTCCCCTGTGTGACTCAGAAGGGGGCAGGCCTGACCTAGGCAAGCAGGCTTTAAAAAGCCAGAGCAGTGCGACCAGGGGAGCGAAGCGGACAGGGGACTGCAGACAGGGGAGTTGAAGAGGGAGAGCAAAGCGACCCCACCGCCGAAGAGGCTACCCGGTGAGAGTACAAGCTGTGGTGTGAGTGTGTGTGTGTGCCTGACTGTTTGAATTTTACAGTTTGAAGTGTGAATTGAGTCTGATTCCAGGTGAGTGCTAGCAGTTTCAGTTTCAGCTTCTGTGGCAGTTGGGACTGAGAGCCTGCCATTGTTCCCTTGATTGCCTCTGATTAGCCTCAGGCTCAGCCTTCCCCTGTGTGACTCAGAAGGGGGCACGGGTTCCCCGCTTGCTTGTCTGTCTGTCCGGGCTGAGGGTCGGGTCCCTTTAAGCACAGCCCTCAGCTAGCCTGAGGCAGCAGCTCCACACACTAAGTCCTAACCTGATGCCCTGCCGGCACTGGTTCTGGCCAGCCTTAACTTCGGTTCAGGGTCCACTCAATGTGGACATGCTATTTCAAATTAGCAAAACGCTAATTCCAATTAGTTTTTAGGTCTAGCTGCACTAATTTGAATTAGCTTATTTCAAATTAACTAATTCGAATTAAGTTAGTTCGAATTAGTGCTGTAGTGTAGACATACCCGTAAATACTAAAGTCAGAAGGGATCATTGTGAATAGCTAACCTAAGCTCCTGTATGACACAAGAAATTTGTAACTTCTCGTTTAGCAACAGTGCATCTTCTAGGGAGATCCAGTCTTTATATCGGACTCCAGGATATGGAAAATCCACCACATCCCCAGGGAAAATGTTTCAATGACACCAGTTATCATCAGCACTCTTAAAAAACGCATCGTTTCCAGTATGTATTTGCTAATTTCAGTTTCCAGTCCTTGTCCTACAAGATTAAGGGGGCCTTTACTGTCAGAAATCAACCCCATTTAGGTACTTATAAATTCTCTCTTTGTTAAATAGATTGTGTTCCTTTAGTCTCTTGGTGTAAGGTGCTTTTTTCCAGACTATAAATCCATTTTTGCAGCTCCTCCCTGAATTGTCTTCCATTTTCCCATCACACACCTTTTCAACTTAAGTGGTTAATCAAAATTTTGGCCCTGGTGATGTTCCAGCTGACAGCAGAAATCTGTGATGGAAACTGGTATATGTTCTTTGATGCAATATTGTGTATTGACCAGGAAGTACATTGTCCTGTTTCTCCAAATGCAGGAAGAAGCAAAATAAATAAAGGTCCTGCAGCACCTTAGAGACTAACAAAAAATGTAGATGGTATCATGAGCTTTTGTGGGCACAGCCCACTGCTTCAGATGAACGGAGCAAGGGATCAGGAGATATAAATAAATAGCAGAAAAAGAGGGGATCAGGAAAGAGAAGAAAATACAATCTTGCCAATTAGAGTGTCCATGCTAAATGAGACTAAGAGAGAGGGCTGTAAGTGCCCAGTGCTTAGCTTTCCATGTCATTAGGGTGTTGAAAGTAGCAACCCATCCAGTTCATGTCTTTGTTCAAACCTTGATTAAAGGTGTCAAATATGCAAATAAGGGCAAGTTCTGCAGCTTCTCTCTCCAGCTGGTTTTTGAAATTGCTCTACAGTCACCTTGAGCTCCATTAGTGAGTGTCTGGGCAAGTTAAAATGTTCCCCAACAGGTTTCTGTGTGTTACCATTTCAAATCTGATTTGTGTCCATTAGTCCTTTGTCATAGAGACTGTCCAGTTTGGCCAATATACATGGCAGAGGGGCAACATGGTGATTTTAAATCCCCTTGGCTATCCAAGTATAGTAACGTGTGCAATTATTTTGCTTCCTTCACACAGGGTTTGCGAAAGCCAGACCCGGGCTCAGAAGAAGAAGAGGCAGCTGCCTTTTGTATTAAATGGAAGAAACAATTATTGTGGCACAGAGTCAAAGAAGCTTTAAACCCTGACAGAGATGAATTCGGACTTCGCAGAACACGTGCAGGGCTTGAACCCACCCTTACAGCTCTAGTTCAAGAGCCATCTAAGAATTAAAAACTCTCCCCCGCAGCCCCAAGTTCCACACAAACAACAAAGCATTATGGCTGGTGATTCCCGGGAGTTGGAAGGGGCCTCTGTCACTGATCCCTAGCTCTTGCAGGAAACAACACTGCTGGATAATAACGCCACTTACCTCCTCAGAAGCAAACCATGCTGCCCAGGAGCAAGAGAGACATTCACAAATAAGTGACGTTAGCAAATGTAGTCTGGGGAATGAGGCTGACCATTCTTGGCAAAGTAGCATCCCCAGTATCAAAAGCAACAACTGTGTTATTTTAATCAAGTGTCCCTTAGCAACTTATCTGCGGTGGATGTGGTGTTGTAAAGGGGTAGGCAAGGCATGCCAGTGCAAGATTTTTGTACTCATGTCAAAACAAACTTTTGTGCATGTGAAAAGCTGACAAAAAAGTACTTAAGTTTTCAAGATAATTTTGAAAGAAAAAATTACCAATAAAGCAAAGTTACTCACCTTGGTGCAGTAACTGTCGTTCTTCAAGATGTGTGTCCGTGTGGGTGCTCCACTGTCGGCGCTGGGCTTGCCCCGGCGCTGCGGTATGGAGATTTTTGCAGCAGATGGCCGGACTGCGCATGCGTGGAGGACATCTCATGGCGTTTGCACTTTTTCACGTCGCTTGATCTAGTTCTAGCCAGTTTCTCAAACCCGCCTCAGGATCTGGAAAATAGAAGGACACAGACTCCAAAGCGGGGAGGTGGGCGGGTAGTGGAGCACTCATAGGGGGACACATCTCTCAAAGAATGACAGTTACTGCACCAAAGTAACTTCACTTTCTCCTTCGAGCGATGTCCCCGTGGGTGCTCCACTGTAGGTGTCTGCAAAGCAGCATCCCCCTGTATGTAGGAAGGTGGGATTCGGAGCCCCTTATCTATTGGCAGATGAAAGAACTGCAACTGCTACAGAATTATCGGGCAACCAGCTACACCGGATGGCGTAGTGCCTAACAAAGGTATGATAGGAGGCCCAAGTGGCTGCCCTACAAATATCTGCAAGGGGAACACCTCTGAGAAAGGCAGTAGAAGCTGACATGGCCCTAGTGGAGCAGGCTCTAGGGCGTTCTGGAAGTGGTATTTTGCATATGGCATAGCACTGAGTTATGCAGGAGACAATGATATTCGCTATTCTTCAGGAGGAAAGAGGCTCCCCCCTTGACCACTCTGCCAGGGAAAGGAGGAGTCGGTCGGTCTTCCTAAAAGGTTTAGTGCGGTCTATATAGAATGCTAGAGCAATGCGAACATCTAGAGTGTGAAGAGTCACTTCCTGGGGGGGAAGTGTGTGGCTTGGGGTAGTAGGAGGGCAATATAATAGGCTCATTAACATGGAATAAGGAACAGACCTTGGGAATGAAGGCTGGGTGGAATCTAAGGATGACACAGTCCTTCTGGAAAACGGTGCATGGGGGTACCACCATCAGCGCCGATATCTCGCTAGCTTTACGGGCTGAAGCAATGACGAGAAGAAATACTAATTTCCCTTGTTAAAACCTGGAGAAGTATTGTGGCTAGCAGCTCAAACGGTGGGGCCGTGAGAGTTCGTAGGACTAAGTCCAAACTCCATAGTGGGGGAAGTACCCGAAGGGGTGGGGGTTCAAATAGTCCTCTGAGAAACCTCTTTGTGAGGGGATGAGCGAATATAGAAAATCCCTCAATTGGTTGCCAAAAAGCTGCCATCGCCACGAGATGCTAAGGCTAATCCTGTTTGTTTCAGCTCTAGTATGTAGTCCAGTATAGTGTGGAGAGGAGCAGTCTGAGGGTTGATGCGGTGTTGGGAGTTGAATCTTCTCCACTTTGCGAGATAGATAGTCCTTGTAGTCTGTCTTCTACTGTGTAATCAACACATTTTTGACGTGAACAGAACATAAGGTTTTGGACGCATTTAGCCAGCTAGGTACCATGCTGTCAGGTGCACCATGTGAAGCTGTGGGTGTAGAAGGCAACAATGGTCTTGAGTAATTAGATCTGGGAGCCGTGGTAACTGGTATGGAGGATACCGGGCCAGTTGCAGGAGAAGTGGGAACCAGTGTTGTCTTGCCCCTGCCAGAGCTACCGATATTACCGCAATATTACTGTGGCCTTGTCCAGCTTGATCTTCTGAAGGACTCTTGGGATGAGTGGTATGGGGGGGGGGGGGGTCAGAGGAAGGTATACAGCAGGGGATCCTTCCAGCTGATGAGAAATGCGTCTCCTAGAGAGTGGCGACCGAGTCCCGAGTCTGGAACAATAACGGTGACATTTCCTGTTGTTGTAGTTGGCAAAGAGATCAATGAGTGGTGTCCTCCATCGGTGGAAAAGAGAATGGAGGACTTTGTGGTGAAGCTCCCACATGTGATCTGGCACGAAATTCCTGTTGAGAGAGTTTGATGCCAGGTAAGTATGATGCTACAAGAGTGGTGCCGTTGGCAATGTACCGGTTCCAAAGTCGGACTGCCTCTGCACATAGGGATCATGAGCGTGCGCCTCCCTGACGATTTATGTAATACATCATCGCTACATTGTCTGTAAGGATCTTTACTGTGCAGTTGCAGATCTGGTTGTGGAAGTGCTTGCAAGCATTGGCAACTGCCCTGAGCTCTAGAAGGTTTCTGTGAAGCAATGTCTCGTGGGGCGACCAATGGCCTTGTATGGAGACTCCGCCCATGTGTGCACCCCACCCCATAAGGGAAGCATCCATAATGATCTGATATCAGGGAAGTGGTTGGTGGAAGGGAACCCCAGATAACAGATGTTTGTCTATGGTCCACCATTCTAGGGAAGCGAGGACCTTGGCTGGAACCCCCACTACTCTGTGTACGTCTCGAGCTGTAGAGGTGTGAACTGTGACTAGCCAATGTTGTAGGGTTCAGAAGCGTAGTCTGGCATGGGGGACTACAAATGTTGTAGCTGACATATGACCCATAAGCTTGAGAGCTGTGAGCACCTGTACCGTGCATTTGGTGCGAAAGGTATCTATCAATACTTGGATTGAATGAAATCTGTTGATGGGCAGGAAATTCCAACTCTTGGGTAGGCCGTAACATCAGTTTGTCCTCATTGACGAGTAGGCTTAGTGAATGAAAAGTTTGTCTGTTGATGTCGAGCATTGTGGATACGTCCACTCAGATCGACCCTTTATGGGGCAGTTGTCCAGATAAGGGAATATAACAACCCCCTTGCGCCGAAGGTGAGTGGCCACTACTGAGTGTGTTTTTGTAAACACCCTGGGGGCAGCAGAGAGTCCGAATGGTAGGACGTGGTATTGGAAGTGGTCTTCGCCAACAGTGAAGTGAAATCTATGTGCGCAGGATGAATCGTAACGTGAAAATATGCATCCTGTAGGTCGAGAGCAGCAAATCAGTCGTTCTGATCTAAGGATGGAATTATTGATGTCAAGGTTACCATCTTGAAACGTTGTTTTCTGATATATTTGTTTAGTTGTCTGAGGTCCAATATCGGTCTCCCCAGTTTTCTTCTGCACCAGAAGTAATGAGAATAAAACCCTTTCCCTCTGAAGTGGTCTGGTACCCTTTCTACCGCGCCGATCTCTAGTAGATGGTTGATCTCGGTGCAGAGTAAATCTTTGTGAAAGGGGTCCCTGAAGAGGGACAGGTTTGGTGAGGTTATAGGAGGGATGGATAGGAAGGGTATGGCATAACTGAATTGGATTATCTTCAGCACCCATTTGTCACTGGTGATATCTGCTCATCAGCTGTAAAACGGGCGCAAGCGACGATGAAACAAATGGGTGGTAGTAAGTAGTTGATGAGTTAGTGAGACTGGTTGCTTACTCCCGACCAAGCAGTCAAACCTGCTGCCTGGCGTTGGGTTGATTTTGAAGGCGATTATTTTGGTTGTGATGTCTAGAAGGCCGGTGACATTGGCGTGACTGGTCAAAGGACCGGTGCTGTTGCTGCCACTACTGTCTGGTGTGGGTGGAGTCGTAGTGCCCGTGGAAGGGAGTGTAGCGCCTTTTCCTATAAGGTAGGGTGTACATCCCCAGCGTTCGGAGAGTTGACCTGGAGTCTTTACTCGAATGTAGCACCGTGTCAGTCTTTTCTGCAAATAGGTTCTCTCTCTCAAAAGGGAAGTCTTCTACTTTTGCTTGCAGATCTTTGGCGACTGTGTCGGACTGAAGATATGAAGCCCTTCTCATCATGACAGCAGTGGCTGTGGCTTGAGCAGCAGTGTCTGCTACGTCCATTGGTATTTGTAAGCTGGCCCTGATGGAAGCATAACCCTCTTGGATGACAGATTTTAAGATGGGCCTTTTGGACTGGGGTAAAGACTCCATAAGTATTGTAAGTTTAGTATAATTATCAAAGGTTGTGATTCGATAAATGTGCCAAATAACTGGCTATTTGGAGAAGCAGCATTGATGACGTGTAAACTTTTCTCCCGAATAAATAAAGCCTTTTTGAGTCCTTGTCCGTTGTTTGATTCCTGTATTGTGGCGCCCTTGCTCTTTGTTGCTCCGCATCCACGACCAATGAATTAGGGTGTGAGTGGGTGAATAAAAACTCTGATCCTTTAGGCGGCACAAAATATTTCTTGTCCACTCTTTTATTGGTTGGGAGTGCAGATGCTGGAGTTTGCCATAATTCATTGTCGACCTCTAATATGGTCTCATCCAGAGGATGGCCAGTTTGGAAGTATGAGGTGTTTGGAGATTCTTGAGGAGACGATGTTGTTTCTCTTTTATCTCATTGAGTTGAATCTCTTGGGACACTGTCACTCTTTAAAAAAATCTTGCAATTGCCTGAGATCCTCAGGGGGAGAAGTATCCCCTGGAAGACCACCTCATCTGGTGAGGATGACGATTGGTCTGTAGGCGATATCTCAGGCCGTTGTACATTTGCTACGATGGGCTGGTCCTCCTCTGTCTCGGATTGGGGAGGGGCTGGGGACATTGGTCCCTGAACAGAGCGGGGTGGATCAAGTACAAGCGAGTATCTAGAGAATGAATAGTCCGCAACAGACCTTGGGGCTGATCTGGAAGTGTAGTGGTAAGAATGGTGGTATGGTGAATATCCTCTGTAGCGAGTGTGTCTATCAGAACAGTCATGGTAGTAATATGAAGAGCGGGAAGGGAAGTGATCATAATGGTGTGATCTGCTATACCCTGCTCTGTAAGAGTAGCCTGGGGAGCGAGGCGATGGTGATGGAGAGTAAGATCTCCGTGGCAGCGGGGAAGGAGATGCAGAGAAACGCTGATGGTAGTGACCAGGTTGCTCCCTCAGTGGGGTAAGGAAAGGAGATGGCATGCGCTCCAGAGACTAGTAGCGTCTGACTGGTGATCATCTGGGTGACTGAGGTGGAGTTGGAGACGATGGCGCTGGTGAAAAAGATGGAGATGGGAAGTGTGGTGTCAGGCTTTGGTGTTGGCACGTTTTGGTGCTAGCTTTCCTAGGTTCTAACCACTGCGGTGCCGTGACCGGTGCCGGCACCACCGGAGCGCTTTTTGGTGCCATTGGGGTCGGTGCTGCGTGATCCAGCTGTTTTTCAGGT